CACATGTGAAATTTTAAAAGGCTTAGCAACCTACGTCAAGCAGCAACTGAGTACAAAGGTCATAACTAGAAGAGATAATTGTTTGCCTTACTTCTTTATTTACTGTTCTATGTTTTAAGAAAAATAAGTTTAAGAACTTATTTCTAAATAGCAATAATATATACACATATATAATGTATAATGATTGAAATATGACTGTATTTTACAAAATAATAGTTGACTAAAATGCAGCCAAGACAGGTCACTTTGTAAAGACTAAAGGTCTATTTTATATTACTGGATATGGTAACATGAGTGCACGTGTGCCACATCATTGTAACTTCTGTACTGTTAGCCAGGCACGGCTGAAAGGTCAATATAATCAAAACAATAAATATATGTACAAATGTATAATGTTATGAGATGTAAGATACTTATCTAAACATTTATGTTTTCATGTTATAAACTGTTGTTATTCTAGAATGAGAGAGGCATAATTTATATTTATTTACTAATTTTTTTACGGTTTTTATGAGATGAATCAAATCTACCAAACCCAAACAAAGATTCGTTACTGAAAATAACAGATAAAATATAAAGTTTTTTCTTAAGAAACACTTGATAACTATCTGGACATTATAAAGATTTCACGTGAAGTTTGAAAATTTTCTGATACATAAAAATATTTTCAATTTCAAAATTAAAATTACTTTGCATGTTGGATAGACAACATTTGATATAGATTGGGAAATTTATCATCAAATCATGAGAGAACTGGGTTTTGTAGGTTCCCTGGCCAAATGGTTTTCTTCACCAATTGGTCATGGAACCTACTAGAAACAATGGTATTTTAAATATACAGTTAACTTTTAATATCAAAATAGTCAATAACATAAAGACTGGTGAACATTTAGATGCAAGTGATCATCGCTCAATTAGGTTTGATGTTTTCCTGAATATGGAGATAAGGAAAAAATGAGATTTTGGTTCCAAATTTCCAAAAAAAAAACATTTTGAAGAGATCAGACAAGAATTATCTGTTGTGACTTGAGTAACTGAATTAAATGGAGATACTAATCACATGTGGAAAACGTTTGAAAATAAGTTTTTAAATATTCAAGATTGGTATGTTCCTTATAGCCAAAAATAAAAAGAGGGTGCAAATAAAAAACCAGATTGGCTCATAAAGGGTAAAAAGGACAGAATTAAAGAAAACATTATAAATATAGGAAAGTTTAGATTGACAGCACAGATAGAAGATTTGAGTGATTACAGAAGTTCATGAGAGTTGATCAATGGGAAATTAGGAAATCAAAAACTATATGAAAAAAGTTTGGCTGAAAAAAAATGAAGATTAACAGTAAGGATTTCAGTAAATACATTAAGGATAAGCAAATTGTTAACCTGGCAGTATGGCCTTTATGGGATAATACAGGAAAGCTATTATCTGATGATTTTAAAATGGCTGGGTTATTAAATTCTACTTTTTCTTCAGTTTCTAATACAAAGATTTAAGTGCTATTTTTCATCCTAAACAGTTGTTAGATGAAAACAAGGTTGAACAAGATGATTACATTAATTTTGAGCTTGTTAAGAAAAAATTGGGAAATTTAAAGATTTATAAAACCCACATTTGGAGTATTGTGTTTAGTCTTAAGCTCCTTACCTTAAAACAGACATAGACTTTTTGGAAAGAACTTAAATGAGGGCTACTAGAATGATACCCGAGGTGGAAAGTTTGTCAAACAAGGATGATTTAAAATATCTGAACTTTTGAAGAAAGAAGAGTTAAATGGGATCTAATGGAAGTGTTTAAGACTGTTAAGGGAATTGGTAGTGTTGATGCATCATCTTTTTTTCACATTTAAGGTTAGAATAGTAAACTTGGGGACAAATTTTGGCATGGTAGGAGTCATCTTCAGCTAAGACAACTTTATTTTTCTAACAAGATGTTTGGCCTTTTGAATAGATTGCCTTCAGATATGGTAGATGCAGTTAATTTAAGGGAAAGCTAGAATAATATTTAAATAGTAAGTGCTGACTCTGTGTGTTTTATTTTTATTTTAGTGTAGTGGATTGGGTGGTCTAGATGGCCTTGTTGCCTTTAAATCATTATAATAACTTATATGCCCGAAATCACCTTCCCCTCCCCCCAAAAAAAACACATGTTCTCATAAATAACTAACTTATTTATCTTACTGTAGAGTTTCTCATTAAATTTATGTTTAATTTGGTGGTCTGTATCAAATTCCCATTAAAAGCATTTTCCCTTTATATCCACTAATAGATACCCAATTGGATTCAATCTCCTTGCTAAAATATTTGATATCCTCAACTTCAATAGGATGTAACTCAGATTTTATATATAAAACCACTCCTCCCCTATTTTGTAGTACTATATCCCTATTAAATAACTTATAACCTTGTACTTCAAACTAATTTATATCACTAAAATTGTCTACATTTAACCAAGATTGAGTTTTTCCAATTAAGTCAAAATCCTCAGTTAAAACTAGTGCTTTAAGGTCTTTATTTTATTTCATATTCTTCCAGCATCACAATAATAACAGTTTAGTCTACCTTTAAAACTTGTTCTGCACTTTGCTCCTACATTATACTTTTCTCTACATCATAGTTTTATTTCATTTAGTTTATAGAAATACTAATATTTATAATTAACTTGCTCAATCTGGTTTACACCATAAAAGTTGGTGTTCATGAAAAGTGATGAAATATATAGCCCCAAGACCACTACTATGTCTTATATTCCAATCAACCCGATGAGCCCAGATAAAACAGATATAGTGTGGTTGACATATTATAACACAATTTACTTTTCACTCTTAAGATCTAACAAGTTCATATTATTCATGACACAGGCCTGTTGCACAGATTAATGATAAGAATTATCTCAACATAAAAGCAATTATTTTGTTTATAACATTTGACCCTCTTACTGTTTTTAACTTCTAGTTGTTCACGCTTATGGGCTTTAAAATTGACATACAATATTGCTCTACTGTATATGGTGTTTTTTTGTTTTTTTAACTGCAATAAAACAGCAGTGATAATGCTTAATTTAGTCTATCCACTAATGTGTACAGCACACACCTGGAGGTGTGGGAACAGAGAAATATGGCTCTTATACTATGGTTATACTTATACTTTAGTCTACTGTTACTAAAGTTTCAGTGTCACTGCCAGAACGTTACTGTTACTCAACTTACTATCACTATCAGTAGTACTTGGCATAGACTAACAGTAATAATAATAATAATTATAGTTAATCCAGTAGTACTAAGTAATAGTAATACTATTATTAATACTAGCAATAATATTAGTAGTGTATTAAAACTTGCAATTAGGCATTACATTACTCAGTAGCCTTTACTTTAGTTTTTCAGTTGATGTTTTTAGTTTTACTTTCAGTTCTAATAGTAATACTATAATGTACTAGTAGTACTGTAGTAAGACTAAGGTCATGTTAATATTATTACTCGTATTTGTAAGACCTTACTCACTGTCCTTAGTAAAACTAAAAGTAGTATTACTAGTAGTATTAGTACTAGAACTTAGAGATTAAAGTTTAGTATTTAGGATTAAGCGACAGATTCCCAATCCTACGATTAAATCATCATACGCAATTTAAATGTAGTTTGATAAAAAATATATAAATGCTATATTACCGTTTTAATCAGATAACAGTTCGTTTTAAAAATTAGTATTTCACTCCCATTTCCGTTCCCCACACACCTCCTCCCTTATGCGGCTGACAGTGCCAATCGGAGAAATGAAGCTATTCATCCCATAATTCTAAAGAAACTTAATACAAAAATATATGGAGTATAATAATTTCTTTGGCTGTATGTATGTGTGTATATATATATATACACACATTATGATAATATTTTTTACAGAAATCGAAAAAGTGTGAAACTTTCAAGAAATTAAGAGAATAATTTTTCACATTATACAAGCAAAACATAAAAATAAGATTGGGAATATCCAGGTATGTTGAACATTTCCAGTATAAGTTTTACTAAGCATAATTTATTTATTTGTTATTAAGCACAAAGAAATACAATGGACTATCTGTGCTCTGTCTACCGCATGTATCGAAACTCGATTTTTAGCCATTAGAGGACTATTAAGTTGAAATTCATATGTTGGAAGTCTTAACAATTTCTGTACAAGGTTCACAATAAAAAAGGATAATAGTACTCAAGATAAACAACATTGTTTATTTATAACACAAGAGGACACAGATATACCTATCGGAGTTCAACATATTCCGTCTTCCTTATCTAAAGCAAATTGAAAGAACTACATCATTCCAAAGAAATAAGTAAAATACTGTTACGTCTCCGTTTGTTAATTAACTTTCAGTAACTTCGTTCCGACGAAACTTAAGCGACACAAGTCCTTACTTAATAAAACTGGTTTATTCTTTCCGAATACAACTTTACGATACACTTATTTTCAATATTCGCGCTAAAACAAACGCTATATCAACGAACGTCAATAATACTTCTGACTGCAGTTCAATTACTCACTATCTACACACACATTACATTATTTCGTCACGTTGTCACCCTCTTA